TTAATAGCGTTAGGCGAGGGTCCACTGTATAGCCACAGGCTATGTCTTGTCTAATATCTTTGTTTATTTCATTAATTCTAAGACATAAATGCTTATATCTTTTCTTGCCACTTTGAGCAACACTGGTATGCCTACTGGGTGTCATGATTGCTTGGCAGATACAAGATATAGTATTTAAAAGATCAAAACACAATTCACAATGACAAACTTGCAGCAGAGTAGTTGGACTGGACACGTATGAAGTATGAATGCTGGGATGGTGGAGTGGTGTCCGGGGGGGAGGGGCTGGAGACGGCAGGAGGCCTTCCCCACTGATCCACAACAAGGCGGCCACTTGAGGAAAAAGGAAGTTTTTTTTCCTTCCCGCAAACTGAACCGTGTTAAATTAATTTTACGAAGTGTTACATAAAATTGTGCCACAATTCTTCAATCGTGCTATACCCAAATCGTGCCAGATAAACTCGTGCTAAATGACGGTCCATTGTATTTACTTCTACAAGTACAGTGGACCCCCAGATTACATAATTATTCAGTTTCAGAGAGAGTGATTTATCCCTAATCTGACTTATTCTGAATTAATTTTCCCCATAAGAAATAATGGAAATCCAATTAATCCGTTTTGGACACCCAAAAGTATTAAAAAAATGTTTTCTACATGAAATATATATTTACCTACACAGAAAACAATGATAAATGAAGAATAAAACAATAATAACATCACACTTTATTGAAGACATGGTGATGTATGGAAAACGGGAGGAGGGAGAGGATGGAGGAGTTTACCAAGTCCTTATCCTGGGTTTCTTCCCTCCTTTGTTTTTTAATGCCGCTAGGACCAGCTTGAGAGTCACTGGACCCCAGTCGCTCAAAAAAGTGTTCCAGACAGGTCTGTTTCTGGCATATGTTAGGAATTGTGTTGGGAGACAGGACAAGATAGTCCTTCAATATGACACTAATACCAGCTCTACGGCTTATTTATCTAGCACAATTCATCTGATATGACATAATAAACAATATTAATAACAAAGAAACATGATATATACTCTAGAATGAATAAAATATGGCATTAAGAATGTTACGAGTGGTGGTGTGTTGATTGTTGTTGGGTGTATAAGGGCCACTGGAAGTTAGTCGGTAGCCCTGTATACCTCCAACAACAATGGAGGAGTCAGTTTCGTGCTGTTCTTTTTCTACTGATTAATTTCTTAACTTACTTGCTACACTCTTAATGCCACACTTTATCGCTGGCTGGCACTATAGCCTTTATAGACTCCTGCTGCTTAAGTATTGCACATATTACAGAATCACTGAAAAAGGCACATTCTCCCCTTTCTCTCAGCCCTTTACCAAAGGGCTGGCTGGCACTAGAAGCTTTCTTTGGGCACCTGGTGGCTTATTTAGCAGTTACAAGCACTAAAAAGAATGGAATGATACAAAATGTATCGTATGAACGCGTGGAATCATCCTCACTGGCTGGTAAACAACGGCACACTGGCTGTACATGGAGTGTCAGGGCCTGAGCAGCCCCGACATGAATGACTTATACCGAGTTCAGTGACAAATATTTTGACGAAAAAATGTTACTTATTCTGAATACATATTAGTTATTCCAATGACGACTTAATCCGGGGGTCCACTGTACATGTACAACAAATACAGACCTAGCTGACATCAGTGACATACTGATATATAGAAACCCCCATGTTATGCAGAGCATTTTGGGCAAATTAAGTGGATAGAGAAGGGATTATTTTACCACGATTGTAACAGTAATAGACAATTCTGTAACCCGTGGCCTTTGTCCGCTTTTATCAAATTGATTGACTCAACAGATTTCGTTTCCTATTTTCAAAGTCTGTTATGTGGAGGGTTTACTGTATTTCTGTACATAGGAAGGTTAGCAAGGTTGTTTGTGGCAGAGTTGGGGTGAAGAAGTTGCGTGTGTTTGAGCTTTGTCAAATTTGCGTTTCTCTGATAGTCCCAGAGGGGACAGAGCATGGAAAATAGGCGTGTGCAAACCATGAAGTGCATATACAGTGGACCCCCACCTTACGATATTAATCTGTTCCTGAGAGCTCATTGTATGCCGAAATTATCGTAAGGTGAATTAATTTTCCCCATAAGAAATAATGGAAATCAAATTAATCCGTGCAAGACACCACAAAGTATGAAAAAAAATTTTTTTTACCACATGAAATATTAATTTTAATACACACAAACTGACACTTACCTTTATTGAAGATCTGGTGATGATTGATGGGATGGGAGGAGGGGAGAGTGTGTAAGTTGTTAATGTTTAGAAGGGGAATCCCCTTCCATTAGGACTTGAGGTAGCAAGTCCTTTTCCGGGGTTACTTCCCTTCTTCTTTTAATGCCACTAGGACCAGCTTGAGAGTCACTGGACCTCTGTCGCACAACATATCTGTCCATAGAGGCCGGTACCTCCTGTTCCTTTATGACTTTTCTAAAGTGGTTCACAACATTGTCATTGTAATAGTCACCAGCACGGCTTGCAATAGCTATGTGAGGGTGATTTTCATCAGAAAAGGTTTGCACTTCAAGCCACTTAGCACACATTTCCATTTCTTTGAGGTAGGCAACTTTTTCAATTTCTGAAGGAGTTTCCTCAGGTGTGGCCTCTTGCTGTTGAAGATGATCTTGCAGCTCATCAGTGGTTAGTTCGTCATTGTCCTCCTCCACCAACTCTTCCACATCCTCCCCACTAACTTCCAACCCCAAGGACTTCCCCAATGCCACAATTGATTCCACAACTGGCATACACTTCTCAAGGTTAGCCTCAAATCCTTCAAAATCCCTTTTGTCTACACATTCTGGCCACAGTTTCTTCCAAGCATTGTTCAAGGTCCTCTTAGTCACTCCCTCCCAAGCCTTACCTATAATGTTTACTCAATTGAGGATATTAAAGTGATCTCTCCAAAACTCTCTTCGAGTCGATTGAGTTTCTGTGGTCACTACAAAGCACTTTTGAAACATCGCTTTTGTGTAGGGTTTTTTGAAGTTTGAAATGACCTGCTGGTCCATGGGCTGCAGGAGAGGAGTGGTATTAGGAGGCAAAAACTTGACCTTAATGAAGCTCATGTCCCCAGAAAGTCATTCTGCCAAGTCTGAAGGATGACCAGGAGCATTGTCTAATACCAGGAGGCACTTTAGGTCCAATTTATTTTCCAGGAGGTAATTTTTCACAGTGGGGGCAAATGCATGGTGTAACCAGTCATAGAAAAGGTCTCTAGTGACCCATGCCTTAGTGTTTGCCCTCCACATCACACACAAATTAGCCTTGAGGACATTGTTTCTCCTGAACACTCTGGGAGTTTCAGAGTGATACACCAATAAAGGCTTCACTTTGCAATCACCACTAGTTAACACACATGAAGAGAGTAAGCCTGTCTTTCATAGGCTTATGTCCTGGGAGTGCCTTTTCCTTCTGAGTAATGTAGGTCCTGTTTGGCATTTTCTTCCAAAACAGGCCTGTTTCGTCGCAATGAAACACTTGTTCAGGTTTAAATTCTTCACTGTCTATGTAATCCTTGAATTCCTTCACATATTTTTCAGCCGCTTTTTGGTCCGAACTGGCAGCCTCACCATGCCTTATCACACTATGTATGCCACTACGATTCTTAAATCTCTGAAACCAACCTTTGCTGGCCTTAAATTCACTCACATCACCACTAGTTGCAGGCATTTTTCTAATTAAATCCTCATGCAACTTCCTAGCCTTTTCACATATGATTGCTTGAGAGATGCTATCTCCTGCTATCTGTTTTTTGTTTATCCACACCAATAACAGTCTCTCAACATCTTCTATCAATTGCGATGGTAGAGGGTGGTAGTGATGGTGGTAGAGGTTGTGATGGTGATAGAGGGTGGTAGTGGTTGTGATGGTGGTAGAGGGTGGTAGTGATGGTGGTAGAGGGTGGTAGTGGTTGTGATGGTGGTAGAGGGTGGTAGTGGTTGTGATGGTGGTAGAGGGTGGTAGTGGTCGTGATGGTGGTAGAGGGTGGTAGTAATGGAGATTTGTGCAATGTGGAGTAAGATGGAAAAATTTGTGACATTAAAAAACAAAGAAGGGAAGTGACCCTGGGTAAGGACTTGGTACCTAAAGTCCTTATGGAAGGGGATTCCCCTTCCAAACAATTGTAAACTCCATCCTCTGCCCTCCTCCCATCTCATCACTCATCAAATACTTCTTCAATAAAGGTAAGTGTCATTTTATTAATTATTAATGTATTTATTCTGCATGTCTCATTGTTTTCTGTGTAGGGAAATGTATATTTCATGTAAAAAATGATTTTGTTTAATAGTTTTGGGTGTTTGGAATGGATTAATTGGATTTCCATTATTTCTTATGGGGAAAATTAATTTGGATAACGGTAGAATCTGTTAAAGACCAGCTCTCTGGAACGGATTAATGTCGTTAACCGAAGGTCCACTGTACCTGGAAAGTGCTGGAAAACCTGGTCCCAAATCTGCACACTGCCATGACAACATACTGGAGTGAGAGATATGGGAGGAAGTGCAAAATAAATCCAGTGAGGAGTAAGGGTGTGGTGAGAACAATAAGGGAACACTGTATCAACATTTGGGGCCCAAACTATTCAATATCTTACCTGAAGATATCAGAAACACAGCTGGAACAAGTGTAGAAGCCTTCAAGAGGAATCTAGACAAGTGTCTTCATCAGGTGCCAGATCAACCAGGCTGTGATGGATTTGTGGGGCAGCGGGCCTCCAGCAGCAAAAGCCTGGTTGACCAGGCAAACACCAGACGAGCCTGACCCATGGCCGGACACTGAGAGTAGTGAAACTCTTGCAGTTCTTCAGAGGTATATCAAAGGTAAACCACAAATGCAGGTTTTTACAGATGAATCTTACACCAGCTGAGTTGTAGCAAGTTTTCGGTCAAGTTAACAGTACTTTTTACCATAATGTAGTATGTAATGTGTCAAGTTTCTTTTAATGCAATTTTTTTTTTTTCAGATCAAACTGGTGCTGCAGCCACTGGTGTCATCCACTGCTAAGCCCCTAAAATGTCGGATGACATGCACATGGGCAGGAACGATTTCATGGGAACAGATGGGCGTCCAGTTGGTGTCGGCAACTTCTTGAAAAGTGTGAGCATAAATAATCAGGATCGTCTGGGCCACAGAAGACCCAGCCATGAAACCTTTGATTACAGGCATGGGTTTGCCAGGGGCCCACCTTTCCCAGGAATGGGTATTATTATTCAAGGGCAGCCAGCTCCTCAGTTTGCTGGAGCACCAGTTTTATGTAGGCCATCTATTCCTGATGTGTCCCATGCGCCTCCTATACAGCGTTTGCCACCACCTGGCCCTATATTACATCCTCCCCCTCCTATTACACATTCCCCTATTCTACCTCCACCTCATTCACACTTACCCATGCCTCATCAGGGTCCTCATCCTCATCTATCCAATTTGACCATGCCACCAAGTAACCCATATTCAGTTCCACCTCCTACCGAGGTTAAAGCTCGTCCTCCTCTTTGTCATGGTATGCAAAAGGTAGAATCCGCTATGCATCCTCCATTACCCAGAGGTCCAAGACCAACACAGTCTAGACTCTGTGCACCACCACCACTCCCTGGCACACAAACATCACGACCACCACCTCTTCCTCCCAATAATTTTACGGTACAACCCCCACTTCCTCCTCTACCTCCTCTGCCACCTTCACCAAAGGTTGAACCTTCAAAACCTCCTCCGCCAAATGACCCACCTCCATCTAGCCCTGTCAAGAAATCCTCTTTGCCCTCTGCACCTCCAAAATTTTCGAAAAGTGTATCGGTTACCAAGTCATCAAATTCAACACAATCAGGAGCTCCAAGCACCTCAAAACATTCTGGAACCAAAAGATTATTTTCTGATACTCAAGATATTGAACAAGCTAAACCCATCCCAAGTATTGTTTCATCTCGTCCCTCCGTGAAGCCTGCTGCCGTCCCCTCTGCTAATAACAGTAATAATAGGATTCCTTGTGTTTCAGGGGCACCTATTGTTGTCTCATATAGCAGTGTTCAAGCTTCCACACCTCCCCCACCTCCACTTCCTCCCTCAGATACTGTTCATCTACCTATTTCTTCCCGTGTGTGTCAAGCAGCAGTCGAGGAGGAACCATATGATCCCGAAGATGCTACATTTTCTCCAGCCTCAAGTCTTGGTTCTCCATCAAGAGAAGAAAGTCCAGAAGACTCTCTTATCAATAAATATGTGAGGCAGCCAAATAAGTTAAACTCTTCTGATAGTTTCTCCAGTTCATTGAAAACCCCAGAAAGAATCAGAAATGAAAACAAAAAGAAAAAAGTTTCTTTCTCTAAAGATGTGTCATTTTCTTCAAAAATTAACAAGACTCCAACTGATTCCCCAGCTAGACCAAATTTAGATACTAGATTGAAGATTATGTTTGGGACAGTAGAGGAAGATGCTTCTAAAAAGCATAAGAAGTCTTTGACTCAGTTACTATCACCAAACACAGTTTCGGAGAAAGAACAGGAAGAGCTTGAGAGACCACTGTCTCCTACCCCATCTCCTTACTTGTCTAGACATATGTACCTTTATTGGCATAAGGAAACCCTCAAGGCAAGAAAGGCATCTAAGTTGTCCAGTGTTGATTTTGTAAATTCTAATACTAGCACTCAAAATACTGAGACTCCTCTAAATGGACAAATTTTATTGTCGATTTCCCCACTCAAGGGAATGCCACCACTTCCGAAAAACCTTCCCACAGTTCCTCCTCCAAACTACAGGAGTTCTTTAACAGAACCTTTGTTGCTAAAAGAGGGTAGTTTGAAAGCAGAGCTTATTTTGAAAAGTATTAATCGTATGCATCCCTATAAAATTATTGATTCTAAGGGCAATATTGTGAAAAGTTCACTGGACTCTGAGTTAGAATTAACGAGTGAGGCTATGCCTATGGAGACAAGTGAGGAAAAAATATCAGATATGTTTGACCTTGAAAGTTCCAGTTGTCATGAAAATGTAACAGTTAATCTTGTAATGGAAAAAATTATTGAAGAGCTCAAACTGGTTATTCGAGAAGAGCTAACAAAAGAAATCTTAGATAAAAAGTTTAAATTGTGCCTTGACAAGGATAAAAAATGTTAGGATAAAGATAGTATTCCCACATTAGTACAAACCATTACAGAAAAGAATCTGCTCCACAATATTTTATAAATAGTTTAGCTACAATGCCCTTTCCTACATGCTGATTCTTCTATTTGATAATGATCATAATAATTTTATGCATTACACAGAGGCTTGATGTAAATATGAAAATGTATTGTGTAAGTATGTGAACCAAGTCAAAATTTTGAAGTGTTGGAGTCTCTCTCCTTTATAATATCTGCACCCTGTAAACTGGAAATGGATTCAGATTTTTCACTATACTTTCAGGTAATAGTATTACTTCTCAGTGGTAAGGTTGCTCTGTTATTTGCTGGAAATTTCTTCAACATAATTTTCATCCCATCATCTCGACAACACTGTAAGTTTGGTTATGTCAATATCAGTATTGATAGCAACTAATGTTTTGTATTTTGGAGCAGTTAGTTATGGTTGTATGATGCATCCTGTGAACTGAAAAAATGTACTCACTTAACAGAAGCAGATGGAAAATACTTTGTAATGTTTTTATTTATGTAAATAGTAAACATTCATAAATATCAAACTTCATTTTTTATTGCTGAGATTAAATCTGTTTTAATGTTATGTTGATATTGCAGTTGATTGTATCAGCAGCTGCACCTTAAGTCACACACACACTGTTGAGCTGGTTATGAACTCAGTATTCATATATATATCTTTTTTTTTATTTTTAATTTTTGTAGTTAATTATATGTTTGCATTTTTTTTCACTTTGTGCTCTCATTTTGACTTAATATTTCTGACACTCTACTTGGTTAGTTTCTGTATATACAGAAATTTCATTTGCAAATTTACTTTTTATTTTAAGTAATAAAATTTGTATATACTATATATAATTCTTTGAATATCAGTCAGGCTAGCATACTTGCCAGCTAAACACAAAATTTAGTAAATTCATCAAAAATATCAAATATTTCAACTAGTACTCTGTACTTGAAGAAATGCATTAGGAAGGCTTTGTTGATCTTTTTCACATGTAACTTACTGATTTGTAACCATTATGTCTGAAAGGTTTAAATTTTGGTAAGATATCATTATTAAAGCCTGTTGTTAAGACTCTTGTTTTTCTTTGTATATTTTAATATTTATTACTATGAATATGTATGAAGATTCAACTGGACTACTGATTCTAGTTTGCAGTTTATAACCTAACTACCATGAGAAGGATTTGAATCTTTGCTCACATTTTTATCAGCCTCACTTGATTGTCGAACTGGTAAAAATGTCAGAGGGAGCTCAAATTCTTGAAGTGGAAGTGGGGTGCTACAAATGAAAAATAGTAATTTTACACACACACAACACACACCCCCACACACACACACACACACACACACACACACACACCACACACACACACACACACACTACACACAGCACATCACACGACACACACACGGACACACACACACACACGCACACAGCACCACTCGCACACACACGCACACACACCACACACATGCACACATCACACACACGCACACATCACACACACTCAACACATGCACACACACACACACACTCACACACACACACACACACACTCACACTCACACACACACTCACACACTCACACACTCTCATCCATCACTACTCACACCTACACATCACACACTCACACCCTCACCCTCCCACTCACTCTCTCTCTCTCTCTCTCTCTCTCTACAGCTCTAGGGCCCTGCTTTACGGCAATTTCAGATTATGACCAAAACTCGCTATATGGCTCCCCCGTCTTTCTAATATGGCGCGCCCCACCTGGTTTGTTTACATTCTCCATGAGCACATCTCTATTATGTCTGGAAACTTTCCAAATTTCAAGTGTTTTAAAGTTATTGTATATTTTGTATTTACTCAGATAATTATACTTATCTGTACCCGTATCTGAATATACTTACACAGTGTGCTGGCATGCAGATACACATTAAAATTACTAAAAGGCTCTCTACTCTTGACGCCATATTAATAATAATAATAATCTCTTGGGCGCATTAAATGTCATATATTATGTTAATATAGACATTTCCACTAATCTATCTACGATATTTTTTCAAAATTGTATAATATACATGCTACGTAACATAAACATGATAAATACACCCCTCAGTAGAATAAATTAACATCAATATGAGATGTGGTAGCCAGGCTACTAGTAGGAGTGATGGCAAGAATAACATTTTCTCTAGTCCACCATCAGAGAAAATGTGTACACTATTATATTACTGGGGGTAGCTAGAAAATTTTTGCTATCGTATGCCTTCACTCAGGGTGTCATTTCTTCTAAAAATGGTGTTACATGAGAATGGGAGTGTTCCTCTTTGTTTATTCTACTGTATCAACACAGAGATAACTTGTATACAGTGTAAAATGTTTGTATTATGGTATACCAAAACCAGATGCATCTGTTGTTTACATACTCTGCATATCTATCTCTCTCTTTATCTCTCTATCTCTATCTCTATCTCTCTCTATCTATATCTCTCTCTATCTATATCTCTCTCTATCTATATCTCTCTCTATCTATATCTCTCTCTATATCTCTCTCTATATCTCTCCCTATCTCTCTATCTCTATCTCTCTCTATCTCTATCTCTATATCTCTCTATCTCTCTCTATCTATATCTCTATCTCTATCTATATCTCTCTCTATATCTCTCTCTATATCTCTCCCTATCTGTCTATCTCTCTCTCTCTCTCTCTTCTCTCTATCTCATCTCTTATCTCTATCTCTCTTTCTCTCTCTCTCTCTCTCTCGTTTATTCGTTTTATCTCGTTTACTCACCTCTAACCCTACATTAAGACTACATATATTTTAAGGTAATTAATGAATGTACTGTATATGTATTTTATTGGTCTGGGGCGCTTTAAATGTTGTAGTATATTACGTGTGAGTGGGATGGGTGGGCTGACTCGGCTGGCTACCATACCTCCCACACCTGACTTCCTACAAATGAATACGACTCAC